ACATTTTTCAATTGTGAAGTATGCATAATTACTGCAAGCCTTAGATGTTAACGCTTCTAATATTACTGAATTTGAACTAGACTCTGTACATACTATCAGATGGCATCAAATTATTTTCTCCAGTCACAACTCCAATGCAACTCAAAGGAAAACTTGTACTTAAAGAGTGAGACACCTGAGAAACTACTGGTTGTTAGGTCAGAATTGTATACGTTAAACATGACCTGTAAGCGAACAGCAGAGTAGCCTACTCCACCAAAAGACACCTTTATATGCCTCATATAGACAGTTAAAAAGAAATCAGCCAATGCTTCTTGCGTTATGAACTTAAAGTGTTAGTATTGTTTATCAACAATGGAATAAATTTCTAACTGTGACATCGACCGAAAATGGATAACAAGCGAATCTTAGATAAGTAGTATTGGTCGTATTACTTTATTTACTTTAATAGGTATTTTACTCATGACTTATTTGGCAACATTATTACATAACTCGAATCGGGAAGTTTTGATCTGCCTTTCATTCATTTACGTATGATTCATAGGTTGGAAATAACCGTCTGTTGAATGAAACCAATCATTGTGTATTATTTTATTTTTGATGCATGAATTCAGATGGTACGTTGTAGACAGAAAATTCGTTTGCTGATACTGAAAATTCAGATCGCTAAAATATATGAAGAGTGAGCACAAGTCTTAGTATTCTCTTACACGTGACTCATCGTACGGACGTATTGACTATAAGAGATGTGGCAAGTAGAGCGACTTCAACAGTCCCCCTAGCTACTGTTGAGATAACCAATCGGATTTTGGCAAGTAGTTTGAGACCAATCACGTGTAAGATCAGTGCTAGGAATGAATCGGCGAAATTGCTGATTCAATAGCTGTTACCCAGCGGAGATATGAAAGTAACGGGATTTATTTGTTGAACAAATAATCCCAACAATTGGTATGATCACAGGCAATAATTTTGCTCGAAATATTACTAAAATTAAATACATCATTGTGCGTAAACATCCATCAAAAATATATTTCTAATAAATTAAACTCGATGCAATTTATCATTACTATTGGTAGCGGAATTATTTTTAATCTTCTATTCGATTCCCAATTAGGCATGACCGGCGTCAATCGTCGGTATTGTAATGGACTACTGTATCTGATTATTTGCTGATATTTCAAACAGCGTTAACACTGATTGAAACAACATCACTAAACTATGTCAGTTTTCTGTGATATACCCACTAGAGCGGTATTACTTGCTGTGCTAAAACGAGCCTTGTTGATGTTTTTCCGAATATGAAAGCTAGTTCAGATTATTGATAGTTATTCACCGTCATATACATTGTATACTGTCTCTGGACATTTATTTAGCTTTTGATAACATGATAGAGTCAGGTATTTTTGAGTTGATGATAGATAATGTGCCGTTTGCAGTTGCATGTGGTGTGAAAGATATTTGATTGTTATCAACGTTCCCGAAAAGCTACATAGAACCACTGGTGCATCACTGCGAAGGAAATGTATTTTATATCATAGATGGAAAATATCAATGCTTCACTCAGTCACTTAATTAACTTCGATTTATTTTCATCTCTTCTGGTTGTTGCTGTGATACATATGCATGCACTGGATACAAGAGAAGTCAGTACACAAATATATACACAATAATCATAAGGGGATCTCATGAATTGCTGACATATGTTTATGTTATCAGCAAATATTTTATAATCGCGGCTTACGTAAATCTTCTAGTCGACCATTTTGACCAAAAGCTATATTTGTTATAAAGGTTAATATTCCTAGTTTTAGTGTTGCCATATTTGCATTGGATGTCTTCAGGCTGAACAAGAACGCAGTCAAAAAACGGAAACACTGAAGGTGGTCGTTGTAGTCCGAAAACTCCGGAAGTTCTTATATAGTTGGGAGCGCTGACTGATCTCAAACCACTTCGCATGATTCTCAGCTAGATTTAGCATCCTAAAAGTACAAAATAATAAATTAACAAATTTATCCCTTCAAAGATACTGGCCTCTTATATTATTCTCAGTGCAAGTAGTTGACATCAAACATTTACGCCATAATCACGGAGTCTTCACTTGAAGCTATTCAGTCTTCAATTTGGAATTCAATTTCTTGACAAAACTTGATTTCAGTAAGTTTCGTACACATGATTACCATAAGAACGGAATTCACCAAACGATTCTTGACTGATTACAAATTCAACTCTGAAATAAAGTGTAGCTCTTATATATTTTATCCATTGATAGTACTTAAAAATTCAAAATTATTTTAAACATTTTTGGTTAGTGAATGCCTTAAAAGGAAAATCCACTGTGTTTGAAGTGATCATCACCGCAAAAAGGCTTAGATTGCATAATTTATTATTCTAAGACTACAGAAAGACACAAAAATGATTAGAATCACCATGCTTCACTGAAACAGGTTCCACAAATTAAGATTTCATTCATTTCATTTAACTAGCATCATTACAAGGGAATTAAGAATGTCAGATAAAGTAATGAAATTTGTTTGTTGAACTTTTTAAATAGCTTTACCACTGCCAATATACTAGTCATTCATGAAGTCTTGTAAAACATTTAAAAATCTGTTTGATATTTGTCTAACTACATAGTGTGCGGTTTTCAGCAACAAATTTGAATTTTAATCAAAAGATTATTATTCAACTCTGTTCCAGCTACCTGATAAAAGACGTGGGCAGTGAAAGTGGACAGTCTCAGAAAACTGATTATATTCACTCGCGAATGTTATGAAGTTGAAGTGTTCTAGTTCCATCAAGTGAAGTGTTTAGTCTGGATGCACAGTCAGTCATATAAGATGTTCAGCCTATGAGTATGGGATTTACATCTGGTAAGGTGGCTGGTATATATATTAATTATTGTTAACCATCATAGTTCACAGCTCTGGATCAATTTAGAAGGAAGCTGGTGGTGTTTGAACAAGCATTTACTACCAAACTACCAAGTATTTGTTATAGGAGTAAAATTTGAGCACTGTAGTCGATTTCAGTTCCATTGTACTTTGTTTTTTAGATGTCATACGGTGAAGCAGTATTATTTACTGGATAATATTTTGAATATTATTTATTTAGCCATATGATAGAATATGGATTCTGTTTGAATTTTGTATAACGCATGTAAGTGGTTATAAAACTTTGAAGACTATAATTTACATTTATTACTCATTAATTTGACTGTATTGATGGTAATCGCCACAGATCCAAAGAAACAGTCTGTTATAAGTATAATTTGCCCGGTGAGTAACGGTTATTAAAATAGATGAATTTACTGCCTAATTACTGAATTCACTGAAGATAAGTATTTACTACAAAAGTGCCTTCAGTTGTTTACCATCCATCGACATTTATAAGTAAGGTGAACAATCTTGAAAATAAATGTCAAAGTTCATTACCAGGTTAAATTGTGCTTCAGCACATAATACATAATATTGGTGGGTCAAAATCCACATAAATGTATACTACTTATTTTCTACTCCTTAGTAAGAACATTTCCATGGATTGTGTGTTAATAATGTCAGTTTTTAAGTAATAAGCTGATTTCTGTTAAACAAATATCGATTTTCAAGTTTGTATTCACTGTAAACTGACATCATCGATTTGCGATTTCCAATTTCATCTCAATATCAATCATATTCTTATTAGTTAGATGGTTATTATTATTATTCATAACCTTCTGGTATGAATTATGATTTTAGGCCGATTTCAGCAAGAGGTAATTGTATTAGGCATTTTGTTTATCACTACTATTTATTTGCCATTACACATTGAAAAAGTTGGCTTCGTTTTAATTTTAAGTTTTACGTAGTCGCTCGGAATTTAGATATGTCTAAAAATTGTATTTCTAAAGGTGTGAAAATTCAGAGTAGATTATCCTATGAGCTGCTCATATCAACAATGTCTTCTGAAACTTAATCTGAATAGTTTTTCACGAGGTGTTTGTGTAGAATAAATCTGTACCATTTTATGATAATGGCCACATTAAATTTGTACCGTTTAGACCCTAGTTGTATGTTCATAGCTTACATAATTTTTTGTTTCTAATGACTTCAAGTTTCATGTTGCATCTCTAAAGTTCATAATACAGCTGAAGTATCACCGGTGCTATACAGTGACTATTTTCCATCATGAAGTTACCATCCCATTAGGATCCAGTAATTTTACAACAGTGTTTCAAAATGAAATACATGCTTGATCATTATACCAGACTACTGAAAGATCGATAGTAGAACAAAAGTGACTGTGTTAGTGCCTACTATGAACCAGCTATCACGTGAGTTATTCACATTGAGTGATGCACGTCAAAGAAGTCCTCTAACTTAATTTTAGTTTCATTGATTGGTCACTGCAGGGTAACCAACTTCATGTTGTCTAGTCCTATTTGCTGACCAAATTCTATTGATCATTTTGCAATGTGGCCATCAGACTAAGCAGATCAGCACAATTTTAGTTTATCTGTTTAAACTGTCACACAGTGATACAGTATCATTCACTGGATAACGTTTCCAGACATGATTTATTGTCCACTGAGTGAATATCATAATAATACTCTTTCATTCTGGATAATCAGGGATGTATCTTCTCCTGTGATTTACTCATCATTTTTGAACCTCATGTTGGTATATGCTTTGCACTTATATACTTATACTCTGCCTCCTGCCTAGTGACTGACAGAGCAGTTGATCCTTATTTACATTTTTACCTTCTGGTTGTCTGTCTACTTGTATTAACTTAGTTTTTTCAGATATACATTTCCCGAAACCATGGAGAAATGGTACTAACAAGAAATTATTTGTGCCGCTTAGGCAGATCTTCAAATTTCAAAAATTGTCTACATGAAAGTCATATTGAGTTTTCCTTTCGGTAGAATTCAGTAGATGATATTTATCTCACAAACAAAAACAGCGCTTTTTGGAATTCTCACAGAAAACGTTGTTCGAAATCAGAAGAACGGATGTGCATGAGATAGCAATTTTCAGTATTATATATATATATATATATATATATATATATATATATATATATATATATATATATATATTGAATCATTCAAGGATATTTTTCCATTCAAAATGAATGATTTCATTAGATGAACAGCGCGTTAAGCGAAATAATTTCTTTGCAATTTCCTTCACTTCCAAAATCCTTAAATTGATCTGTCATACCTTTAACTGGAAAAACTTCCTGGGTGTACGCTTGAAGGTCATTTGACGTTTTTCCTTGCCACCAAGCGGAATTGTTTTCCTAACAACCAACCATCTTCATGTATAAAAATATACGAATGATAGCTTCAGTGTTTATAATCAGAACTTGGGTATGACAAGCCTAGTTGAGAGTTTTAGCAACGGTTAAACTTCAATCTGTTTTGCACTGGATATCGTATGAAAATGTAAATCGCATTTTTTTGAACTGTAACTTCAAAAAGGACCAGAAAATTATGTTTAACGATTCATTCAACCGAAGTTCACAGGAAAAGGGCGTCTGATCAACTTCCATAGATGAATAAATTTAAATAGAAAGCTCAAGAATGAGAATAACGCCAGCTTTACTGATCATCATCAATAAATATGGGATATCTAGCTAGTCATGAAATGTTCTCCCTCGTATATACGATTCAACTAGATAGTTATAAATCAGGGAAGATAGAGACGTTGTGTAAAGCCAAAGGATTAACAATTTTCAGGTTTAGCTCTGTGTTCAGCGAAAATATGTACAGTTATTCTCTTTACCATAGCCGTAACTGTTACTTCTTTTCAAAGCCTGTTTTCGGTGTTCTACTGACTGTATTGTTTATATGAAGTATAAGAGATGTTTTAGTTTTGTGATTCCGTAGTAGCTAGTAACAGGTTCTTTCCTATGGGATTTCACTACCTTTGGTGTGTTTACTCTTCCGGAACATTCCGTCACTAATTTTATATACTTACGAATTTGAAACTTAGGAAATAAGATCGCTGCAATTGTATTTTTGATTTTACTGTGACTACGTGAGGAGTATTTTACCATAGATGAAATGAAAATTACTTACGCGTCGTTAAGAAAGATTTAACAGGGATGAAGTGTATATCTCCGCTTCCTTTTCTGTAGTATGTACCATTAGAGGCTCCGTAGGCAAGTCAAGTATTCGAGATTCTCTGCGATTGACCTGAAAGTCTGTATTGGAAATAACTGCAATACAGTTACCAAAATTGAAGTCTGAATCAGTTTACAGAATTAAGTCTTCGTCAAATAATTTATTTGAATATATCAGGATTATGTACGCAATATGGGGAATTTATCCGTCTTGTGATGATGACTACGATGTTACTTTACGGGTTTGCATGATTGACTAACTAAAACTGAAGTATCTGAATACATTAAAATCTGAGTTCAAAACAAGCAACAAATGTAAAGAAAGCTAGCTTCAATGAATTTGCAAATTCTGGAAGGCATCGTTGGCTGAATACTCTACATACTGGATTATAGCTACTATGAAAATAGTTTTGTGAGAATATATTGCGTGATATTAACTGAAGGAAGAGATAATATGGCAATTGAAGACCTTAAGGAATGAATCAATTAAAGTTGATGCATGTTGATTTACTGGAAGTTTCATATTTTGGCTGAAATAGCAGTTCAAAACTGGTATCTTCAAAGGAATTTGATTATCGATACTGAAGTATACACGAATTCTACTAGAGGGTTATATTTCAGCTACTTTAGTGTAGACAACTGTGATTTGTTAGCAGGTCTTACGAACTTATGCATAAGATGCTAATTGCTGAATATTCTCTTTCAAATGATTTTGCTGAATGGCTGTTAACTGTACCTAAATTCTAACTTTGTTCGCATTTATATATAATTATAATGTACAATTTAAATGTTAGAATTTAGAAAGAAGAGCTGTGAAACGGTTTCACAGGGTAATGTCTGTGATGTCTGTCGAACCTCTTGATTAATGAGTCGGCTTATCTGAATACTGCTTCACAAATCTGACACTGACTGTTGGCTGTTATATCTTTAGAACAGTGGAGGTAGAGTACTGTACTGTACTGTACTCTCTTCGCATTACTGCACAGAGAAAACATCAGCGTTTTGCTTCACTTATCAGACATACTTTGTCTTTAGCAAATACATGAAAAATTTATAGCAGCTTAAAATATCTGATCAAGTTACGGTGAATAAAAAAGACTAATTTCCAGGACAAGGTCATTCATCACTGATTGACTTTTAGTCTTATTCACTGTTATTCGGCTGGTAACCGAGTAACTTTAAAGGCCATTCTAGCAACAACTAAAATGATGAATTAGGCTTTTTAATTTTGGCTGGAAAAGTACTTTTCCATAAAATAAAGGAATGTAATTGTCTGTCTCATCAGTTGGTAGGGTAACCTTTGAAGTCATCCCTGTTAACCTGTATATTTGTGTGTAACATTTATTCTTTCAGGCATCATGGTAACACATAGGCTGTTTAAATATTGTGGTAGTGTTGATCGTTTCCACTTGTATTAATGAGAGATATGACATACTAAAGTGACTAACTTTTATGACCTTTGTGATTTTCACAAATTACTAACTACATACAGTTGGCCTGAGGCAGATAATTATCAATTTCTTGCACTCAGTTAAGTAGTACACACATCATATATGCTGAACCGAAACCTACCACATTTGGGCAGTGTTAAACCAAACACCACTATGTCAAATGTAAATACGGGCTGCCACTAACAAGTGAAACTCAAGCTGCATCAACGCACGAGGTTCAGGCGTATTTCATGCAGGTATCACCTAAAGGACACAGTTCTGTCTGAGTACTCTAAAAATCCCAAGTGTTTCTCACAGTTCAGAAGCTCCGAAGGTAGAAGTGATCTCACTTATGGCATCACTTTACAATTTTGCGTTTTGCCACATTGTGGTTGTCAGGTGGTGGATAGAATTGCATGCTACAATGATCCAAAGAGCTACGCTGGTAAGAACACTTGAACAAAGCGAAATCAGCTGCCTTCAAGAAACCCAAGAATACTCAAACAGTGAACACTTGTTCTGTTAGGGTCATACCATACTAGATAGATCTGTTGGATAGTGGTAACACAAAAAGCTGTTATTGTCGCTGAGTTAATTAAAACGGTAGGGGTCTATCATAAAATTCGTTTTGTTGCTTGATAGGAGTGAGACAGAAGTAAGGTGCTTCCATTGGACGACCGAAAATATCATCCTGATACTGCTCTCCCTATGGCAAGGACGGGAAAAATCGACCCAAAACCAGATTACTATTTCTTCTCTAGTTTTCCGCTGTACTGGGGGTTTGGGTGTGTCTCCGGAATTGAAATAAACAAATTCAAATCCTTCGGAGAGGGCCTTATATGACCAATATCACACAGATGTCGCTCTAACTCCACAATTACTATTAATCGAATCCCTTTTTCAGGTAACTCAAGAATAAGAAGCAGCATTTTAAGATACAGTCATCTAGGAAATGTCAGCCAACCTTACAATTTTATCAGCACTCAAGTTCCCCGAGATCATTACCAGGCTTCCACATCTGTAACCTCCATGCATTCCACACATCCCTTAATAAATATTCCTATGTATCGGCTCCTAACTTGGTTTGATTTCACGCCGTAAAAATGTATTTTATGGTTGTGAAATCATAAGAATTTATTGAAAAGAATACATTTCGTTAAAATTGTCGCTTCTCATTAATTTTTCTAACCCTGCAGGATTTGACAACGACTCAAGCTCACTAAATTATATCTCTTGTCTCATAAAATCACGCTCTGAAATATATGTCGGAGCTTTTGACGTCTGCGCTCTCCATCATGGTGGTTAACAAGTTTCACATGACGAAACTTCTGCATCTTAGGCTATGGACGTGTGCTGTGTTTGTGAGTCATGCATGCAGAATCTAAGCGCGGCTGTTCAAGTTCAGAATCCCGACCGAAAGGAACAGATAACGGCGGCTGACTGTTAAAATGCGCACAGAAGATAATCTGTTTCCGAACGGAGGGAACTTTAGACATGAAGGGGAACGTGAAAGAATTTCAGAATTTTCTTCAGATTAGTTGGTGGACTTGAACATATTCCTGCAGGCTTCGAAAAAATACTGAATGAAAAAATTCTACGCAATGGCCGTTAGGAGCGGTAGGCAGTGAAGGCTAAAGAGACGGAAAAGGCAGGGGTGATAGAAGACAGCTGACTGATTGAGAAATCCTGAATGATGAAGTTACTGATTAGTGAGAGTATAGTGACAAAAGGTTGACCTGCGGTTTCCTGCTAGATGAAACGACCAGAACGATGTATTGAACACCACCATACCAACAGTTCAGTTGTCCTTCAGCTATTATTCGGTTGTCTGGAGTCCAGTCAGATTCTAAATGGGTCGTTGAGATAGGCCTTCCAACTCTTGCCGAAGTTGACAAGGCTGTAAGATGTCTGAATCTAGGCAAGATAGCAGAGTCAGATGGGTTAGTAGAAGACGTATTTAAGGATGGTGGTGAGGGACTGTTAGCTAGATTAACTGGAGCGTTGACTAGCAAATGTGAATGAGATTTGATATCCTGTTACTGATCTCAATGTTTGACTGTTCTAGTTTTCAGGAATGTAGAGAAACTTTGTTGCGGTGGCCAAAAGGGAATAAGTTTGACGAAGACAATCAGTAAGATCCAAGTTTCTATTGCCATTAGACGACCATTAAGCAAGGATGAAGAACAGGAAATCCGAGAAAGCCAAGCAGGTTTCAAACTTATTCATTTGAGTATGTAGCAGATGTTAACTCTCCTTCACTATAAAGAACATATGGATCCTTAACAACTTCCTATCCTGGCTTTTTTTCTCGATTTGAAGTCGGTATTCGACTTCTTTGATCGAGAGATCTCACTGGGTTACCCACGTCAATGTGGAAAGTGTTTCGAGACTGTACGTCAAGTGGCTAAGAATCGATTGCAGTGGCATATATGTTTGCATCAGCACATTTGTTTTATCTTAGTCGCTTTACCAAATTTTATTATTGTCTCATTTTTCCTTTTGCATTTTCAAGTCTTTCTATCAGTTTTGACTAATTTCTGTCTCATTTCTCTATCTTTCATCTTGGTGGCTTTTCACTTGATCTGGTGATGTCTAGTGTGATTACTTGATCGGTAATTTCAGGTCCTATATTAACAGTGAACTGACTGACATTATCTTTAGTAAAGAAGGTGAATTCTATCTAAACATTTACATCATGATTCGGTTATTCTTCATCATTTCAAAGTTCTTAAGTCATAACAATGAGTCATTCTTAAGTTAATCAAGGAATATGTAAAATAATAGTCAACAGAATAAATATTTTCCCAAAATTTCGCGATGCTGCAAATAATGTGTATGAGAGATTTTCAGACAGAATAACATCCACAATTCCACTCTTTATCTCGTTACTTCATATGAGGATGGTTATATCGTGGCAGCTATTGGTTATAAGGATAGAACCATTGTGTACGATATGGAGTCTCAAGTCAAACTTATATAGGTACAAATTGATGTTTGAGTTTTTGGATCTTGTACTAGCCAGCAGTTAGTGTGACTTCATAAGCTGTTCATCATTCCGACACATATAAAGAGGTTGAAAATGAGAAATTCCTTTTTTTGACTGCACATCATATCCTCATCACTTTTCCGTAGGTGGAACTCATTTACCCTTCCAGTTTAGTTAGGTATAAGTACATTACAGAAAAAATAAATCAAAATAACGAAGAGGTCTTTTATTGGTTTATGTTGTAGGAGAATATTTTGAATGAAGAAGCTTTCTTACGTTATCTGCTTCATCGGTAAATATCTGAAGAGAACTAAAAAGGTGACATTTTACCGTCCTTTGCCTTTCTAAAACAGTGTTTAATTTAATTATTTTCCTGTCTTTTTCCATTATCTTATCCTTCTCGATCTCATCTGTTCGAGCTTGGGGAGCTCTATTTCAGTTGAACTTTCGAGACTTGTACTGTTCATGTACTTGTTATTTTATAAGGCGTTCACCTAATTTAGCATTTTTACTCCACTTTACTTTCAACATATGACTTTGAACTGGTCGTTTCATCAGTATTTGGTATTAAAAATAAAACTATTAAATGCAACGACTGGATTGTCACAGTGCTTATAAAATAGTGGAAATAGTTTGTGTAATCAGTGACTAACTTTTAAGAGAATGTTTCTTGTAAGTAGCATTAACTACCAATGAGATTCATTTAATTTAGACCAAAATGAGCTTATAATTTTTAAAAAGGTGTAGATTCAAAGTTCAATACCGATAACTAATCTAAGGAAAACCTGAACGATGCCTCATGTACAATGACGCTGCTTATCAGTAAGGCCAGACTCAATCCCTTAGAAAGGTATATAATTATATTGCCTGGTTTTTGTTTACTTATATGTCAGTAGTACATAGATAGTTTTCCAATTTAAACTCTCAAAAGTTATATCGTTACTGTTTAGTCACAAGTTAACTGCTGAAAATTGTTGGGATGTGAGCCTTAGAAACAGCAAGGAATAGTGTGGCAGACGTAGGTAGATTAAATAGTGTAATACTGTCACCGCTGGCTGCAGTTTTACAGGAACTCAGGGATCACAAAATTAATAAAACGTTAAAGTAAACATGCAAAACTGATTTGAAACAGGAAAAATAACAGTAATCAAATAAGATAACGAAAGAACAATAATTACATCATCGTAATATATTTTCAAACAAGGTATTTAAGGCAATCAGCGAAAAGCTAACAGTCATTGGTTTTATGAACTGATAGTGTGTCCTAATATGACGACTTCCAGTGTTTATCAAGGTCACTTCTACAGTGGAACGTCTTGTGTTTCATTATGTATGGTGGTTTGATATGCCAATGGTATAAACCAGTCTACGCTTACAAATTCACGTATCACCTTTTTTCGTCGTCCATAACTGTTTACCTTACAGTAGCATTACCCATGGCATATTCTGCATAGCTTTAAACATCACTGTCATATTATCTGTTTTACTAAGCTACTCCAAATTGGCATAAGTATGTTGTCCAATTGTCCTTGATTGACAACGTTTCTTTAGCCACTTCAAGTCTTCAATGAAAAATCTTCGAAATAAGCAGCTCATATAACCAACTGACTCACAAGGAGATCGAACTTCAAAAGCTCTTGTATAGTGTTACAAACTGTGGGTATCATTCAGTTTGAAATGAGAACTTGTTTAGTCAAGGATTCTTGTCATATGCATGAACTAAACGAGTTCAAAAAGTACAGTAAACTGATATTCGCTTGTTCTTTCAGAGGCTGAATTTCATGGGGTGGATCCTGATTAAGGTTGAAAGCATGTTCTGTCAAGGAGTTCCAAGCGATAAGTGAACAGCTGTCCACGACTACCTAGGTTTTATTGTTTCACTAGTTGTGAAAAGTTTGGAATGAAAGTTGTTAATATTGTCAAGCAATGCTGCCGCTATCTGTTGTAATGGTGAGTGTAGGTGAAATAAGTATTAGATGTTCAAAAGTTTTCACCTTTCCATATTCGAAATGATGCATAATAAGGGAAACATTTCAGAACACAATAGAATATATCTTTATTAGTTGGTTAAATAATCATGTTTCAATAGAAAATTAGTTACTTATGCACCTCAACCACCGATATGTAGCAAATAATGAAGTTTTGACTTGTAAAAGGTGTTTTTCACATCACAGGAGTCGACTTTTGTCGGTCGCATGAAATATACCCAACAATGATGAAATGGGAATAGCTTTATTCACCTATTATCTTCTCGACTAACCTCACCACAGTATTCATGTATATCTTTAAGCAAGTGTCCATGTTTAGATTACTGAATTTTTCCTTCTGAACTCTCATCAAAACGTGGACGGATTTAACTGCTGTATTTTGCGGAAGGTTTTAGATTAGTCTACTTTTTCATGCATATTTTTCTTTGTCAGGTGACACTCGATGGATTTATTATCTGGTAGCAAATGTAAAGTGAGAAAAAGCTATTTTTATCCAATTTGTGGTCACAAAAATATCATTATGATTACTATGTTACATAGGTTCTGCGGTCATAATCATGACGCTATTTCTAGTGTCAAACTTATCGTATATTAATATCTGCATATTTTCGGTTTCGAACGGAAGTAACGGTGAACTGATGAAATTCAGCTTCATCTAAGTGTTTCATTCTCATTATGAACAGATGATCTTATGAATACTTGGTTTGGTTCTGTTTCTGCTAGAATGGTTAGCCAGCATTTGGGTAAATTGAGCAATTCAGTTTTTTAAACCGTATCATTCCAGTTCAGACACCTAACCTTGAACTGGTGAAACGGCTGAATATTGTTTTGATCATCTCGATCTAGTTAGTGAACATTCTTGGTTGGCGTAACTGGTCTACTAGTACTCATTGCAACCAGTGGTTCACGTCATATATTTATGAATCTATTTTTCCGTTTACTAATTTTTACCTACTTGTCTATCACCCATCATAATGATTTTGGGGTATTCTACAGGAATTTATTAATTGTTGAAAGAATATTTTGATTTACATTTTGAGTAACTACATATTTCTTGATTACTCTGTAGCTTCTGACGAAAATATTCCAGAATTCGAAGAGTTTCCGTGATTTTAGTAAGTTGGTGTTCGAGCTTTAGTGAAACGGAATTGTTTCTCTGTTTTTCTGTACCATTTCATACTCAGTTTTGTTCGTTTGTCAGTAAACACTACGACCATCTAATACCGAGTAAAATGAAAATCTACATTTTCACAATTCAGTTGAGTTTAGAGAATAAAAGGCCTCTGCAACTGGAAGCCAAGGATATTTTCAAGATTCTTTTTCTCACATCGTTTATTCACACTGCATGATGACGCAGGTTTTTACTTCTGAAAATGTCAGACACCCTTGATTTCTTGATCAGGCCCAAACCATGATGATGAACCTACAAACTTGGAAATCACACTAAAGACGTAGTTTGCAAACTCAGGTCAGCATGTCAAAGGAAAACAAAGTGATATTAGCCACTCCTAAGGAATATATCAATTCAGTTTTAAGCATCATATCCAGGAGTACTATAAATTAAGACTCCAAATATATGAATATAAAGTCTCTCTTCACCAACTATTTATTAATTTACTGTCACGAGTTTAAATATGATCAGCTGTTTTTAGCAGGACATTATATAGAAATAAATTATAACAACAACTTTCGACTGATGTGAGTTGAGTCTACATTTCTTACTTTCACGTATAGACTGGTAGTTAAGAAATAAGAATATCACAATTTGGATTGCAGCTTATGAACAGTTTCAAATAAAATATCACTGGAAATAAATGAATACGGGATGCTTGTACCATGCAAATAATAATGTAACGCAATAGTAACTTGATTATGTTCCGGTTATATTTTCTGTTATGACGGCAAGTGTTCTACCACTCAGTTGTTTAGCTTAGAGACGGCTGTACTATTGAAAAAGCTTTTGACTGTTCTCCGTGATCCATAAGCCCGCATAGAACTTGGCGTCAGCAAAGTCGTTCTTGAGCTAAACATTATAATTCTATTAATCCTCAAAAGTAAGGGGTTACTGACCTAGAAGTAAGCCTAGAAATGCAATCTTTGCGCTAAAGGTTCTATGAAGACGACTAAATTTTCTCCAAACTATAGAAAATAATTTCAGACACAGAGAAATGCTACTTATAAATGAATTAAGTAACCACAAGCTTGACCATTACTTTGAATGGCAAAAAAGATACCATCGAAGGCAAAACACAATTTTTAATAACGATTTAATTACCTAAAGCATATTAAGAAAAAAATTAGACGTCCTATAAACATGCTTACCAGACCTGAGTCTAAACTGACCGACTGTTGATCGTGTGCATACATTTTATCAAACAAATCTACAGTTTGTATGAAAGTAGCCCACTACGAAATTTATGTATGATTTTGAGCTGAGGTACAGGATCCATAATGGAGTGTCATAGTTTTTAAGACATTGGAAAACAGTCAGTAATTTACTGGCGATAGCTCGTCCATTACTGGAGACAAGTTTGAAATAGTCTGTTTGGAATCCTGCGGTTGTATCAGGATGAACCTTCGATAAATCTTTTTTTTTAGCTGTATAGTTGTTTCACAAGATATTTATTCTGTAGTTAGTCTAATGAATAAACCCGGGATAATAAATCTACAGTTCTCTTACAATTTAATCCCTACACCGTTTCCATTTTTTTCTGGCATCAGTTTGTCTAAACACTGACTTTGGAAATTCTGGGATAATTTCAACGTACGATACTTTTTTTTGCATTTAGACGCTTATTTAGAGTGTTATCACAGGAAAAATTAAGTTACTGTGATCTATACATTATGTTCATGCATAGTTCAGTGGTAAAAAGTACTTCTTGGTTAAGAATGAAATAGCTGGAATCTTTCTATCGAATTTAATGGATATGACCCAACAAAATCAGGAACTTATATTGGCACTCCTATGTAACATAATATGAAGCTACTTTTATGAGTAGTTATAAGCATCCTAGAAAGTCAATCAAAATTATCCATTATTCTGGTAACGTTTTTGATTGAACTTTGAATTGTATTTATGTTGCTACTCATCATTAAAAGGTAAAGTGCATGGGCATAAAAATACATGACTTAAAAGCTGACCTATTTCGTCTTCAGTTTTTTCTTAGCGTGGTTTAGAAGTTGTTTTACAGTAATTAACGCTGTCATTTAATGCACCACTTGTTTCTTTTCAGTAAAAATAAAGATTTTTGTTGTAAATTGAACATAGTTTCGCAACTGCTTTAGGAAAAAAATGTTCAATAATTCTAAGCCATAGAGATCAATTATGCTATCTCAGTGGAATAAGTATAGTAGTAGTGATGGGTAGTCTCTATCAGTGGACTCCAGAACACGCCTTTCGTGCGATTTAAGAATGATCAGCCAGATATACAAGCGTACCAGTGAGTGATGTTGTTCCCATTAATACTCGAAATCAGGACAAGTCGCTTCAAATGACGATGTTATCTACTAGGCCAGCAATTCAAGATAATCACTCCTTAGTTGTCTGGATAACGCTGTGTCACTTGATGCGATTGGTCCTGAGTTTGAGTCTCCAGAGGGGGGGGGGAGAACAACGTAACTCACTGGGAGGCAGGTACATCCGGCTAATGTAAGGTGTGTCCTGGAGTCAGTGTACTGCTTGTCACGATCCATCGTTACTACGAAACTGAAATTTTCGAAGCATTCACGTAGTTGCTCATACGCCAGCATTAACCTGTCAATTTGATCCAATCAAGGATTAACATCATCGAAATAAATGTGGTCATTCACAGATACATATATTTATGAGTTTCGTTTGCTTAGAAAACGTGATACTTTCACAAGGTCTTATTAGTAATACGTAAGTCATTCACCTCCTCGGTATAATTTTTTAAAGGAAATCAAAAAACCAACTTTTTATTTAAATATGAATACTATGTCTGGCACATGCTATGTTGGATACTTCAAGGCGAACGATCATGACTCTCAGGACCTTGTCTTTTTGGTTTTTATCCGTTATTAAAATATCTTATATCTTAAAAGGTGGGGATATTAATACTGTGCTATTCTAACCAAAAATTTTTAATGCGCGAGTAAACTGAAAACAAACGCTGAAATCCTCGTCACCTGCCACCATTTGCTACAACGCATGAAACACTACAATGCTCAGTCATGCAACCTAACGACAATTGCCATTTCTTGATGAACCGACTCACTAAGTAACTATTGCTACATACTGGGTTGTGACATTGGTGACTGTCCTTGAATCGTAAGATGTGTTTTTCTGCAGGTCTTTGGGCCACTGTGATTTGGGACTTTCTCGTATTTAACTATAGGTATAAAAATAGGCTGAATTGTGCTAGTAGAACATTTTATTGTTGAATTCTGACAAATTGGTAGTTATTCAAAGTCTGAAATTTATGTTCTATAAGTTATTTTCTGTTTAAAAAATTATTTTCAGTAAATCTGTTATAAAACAAAATTCTTGATTAACCTTATCGTCCTATTAATTTCCTGATTTATATTAGGAGTTAGTCGCCGGTATGGTGCACAAGAACCCACGGTCATTAGTCATCTTCTATTAAAGGCTGCATGTTATGCTCAAGGACCGAAAGAAGAAGCCGGGAAAATTGTTCAAGTTGAAGGCATTCAATTTAATACAGTTGGATCGTTAGCTTTAAGCTTTCAAAGTATTTTTTTTAATCAATCTATTTTGAAATTACCCGTTAAAAAGTTGTGGAGTTAGTATGAGATTAGGTAAATTTGAACTGAATAAAAAACTGAATTTTGTAATCAGCAACCTGTTTATATGAAAAAGAAATTGAATCCATATCATATTCGGCATTAAATCGGAAAGAAATGCAAAGTAAGATCAGTCAGTCAGGCTATGAACCTACACCAACCACACCTTCTTGATCATGCATCCCGGTAGGCTTCCTGCTATAAAATACCATTGGTAATAGAACTAAGTTGGAGGAAAGGTTAAAGTGGCTACGACAGACTGTTGTATAAATCACTGAAACCACAAACTTTTGTTAAGAGTTATCTGAAGAAAAGAAGGCTTTTATGTTGAGACCAGGAAGTTGTAGGCTCGGCTTATTTATCTCCGTGGTGTGAATATCCTAATACTTAATGGCTGTTTATTACCCTTTTAACCATAATCTTGATTTAGCTTTCTACCATTCTACTTCTGACAAATCCCAGTGGTGTCAACATGAAGTAATATACTTTCGTGAATATTCGTATGTAAATATCTTTGTTTAATGGCTGAATGGGAATGCTACACCTTTGTTTCAGACTTATGGTGATATGCAGCTTCGTAAGTGGAGCTGTGGCTCAGTAGTTTATGGAGATGACTACCAACTATTGGTTACGGGTTCGGGCCCCACTCTACCAGGTAGTATCACTGGCTCTCACACAATAGATGTGTCACATCGCCTATGGCATGAGTAGGCTGAGTGAGTCACTTTTTTTTCCATATCTTCATAAATGTTGTTAGATGTTGCACATTACAAAAACTGCAGCATACTTGCGATCTGAATGTAGTTCATCTTCCTTCTTAAATCTATATCTCTTCCATTTACCACTGTAGTTATCGTTGGAACTAAGAGTGCTGGTATACCTATAGAGACAAAAGTGCAGATTATTCACTGTCAGGAGGTAACTGGTTTATGGAAAATAGCTGAAAGTTGGGAAGTTAGCTTCCTTTTGGTAGTCAACTTAAAAGTTGGATTGCTGTAAGTAACAGCAGATTGGAACATATTAGATTTGAAACTGTAAAAAGTAGGATAATGCATTAGCAACAAATTTTATATCATTTATCATTTATGTACTAGGATTTTGAAAATGTTTGAAGATTATACAATAAATACAACTTGTAATTAGGCTTCGTGTACAAACTAATTTACAGTTCACCTATTCTTACTAACCTTTTATGCATTTCAGAAAGACCACACCAACATTCTCCTTTTAGGCTTAGCTTCTTTCTTTGAACTAATTTTATAGTATTTATTTATTAGCACTAAAATAATTAGGAGGTAAACTGGTCTTGATCCCCAACTTAGTGCTTATGCATGATATACTGCTGGAAAACACCATATTCTATTTAAGATAACGAGGATTTCTTCAGGTTTATAAAAGAATATCTTGTTCCAGCATTTTTCTTTACTTAACCGTTTTAGTTATTTCTGTATAAATGCTTACTGAGAGCAGATATTTATTTTAAAATTTTTTTCTTCATCAGATATATTAAAGATTGATAACCTAAATGCGTTCACCAATCTGAAAAAACTACAATTAAACAATAACATAATAGAAAAGATTGAAAATTTGGATGATTTAGTCAATCTTACTTGGTTAGGTAAGTGATGAGGTTTCTAAAGTAAAGCTTGAAAAAACCGTCTACCTTTTCTAAAACGACTTTCATCTACTCTCAAACTATTTTGCAACGTAACGTCAACCACTGATTAAGTGACTATGAGTTTTCCAAGAAGACACTTCATTGGAAAACTCAGCCAACACGTTCCATTTATCATTTTCACCAAAGCAAGAAGAATACGATTTGTAGAGTAAATTGAGTTCAGTTTTATTTCTAGACATATCCACATTGGCTAACAGCCTAAAATAAATAGACAATCAGTGTATGATTAAGTGTTAACATACTTTTGTGTTAGAGCTTAGTTACTCTGTACCTAGGGAAATATAGATTCAGAAGGTGACATCAGATGAAGAATGTTAGCAATGCAAATGATAATAATAAAATCATTATCAGTGTGACTAGCTGAGATAACCCGTGGTTTGGTAGACTTGTATTGAAACTGAGTGATGAATTCACATGGTATTTTGGAAAAACCCTTCTGCATATCCTTCCTGAAATATCGTCCCCATTATATACCAAATGAATACTCACCAGCTGTTCTCTGCTATGGTTACATTCTATTTCTGGGTACATACTTCTTAATACCCCTTAATAAACACTTTGGACAACCGTTTCCTGACAGATGCATTTCAAAGAGAACTAACTCGTCGTCTACCTTATCTTCTAAGCAAAGTTCGCCGATTCTGTTAGACGTTCCGCTAGTTTTGATACTACCCGATCTTTGTATCTTTAGGGTAGATTATCCCTCAATTGAACCATCTATACGTCAATGAATAGAAAACATTTAGTTGTTTTTCAAGCTCATATTTCATCGTCAAACCGATGATCCAGTGTGCATTGTTCAATATCTGCGACAGTTTTGAGCCATGATTCACATCTTCACAAATATGCGGTCTACTTATGCCGTGCAAAATAGACAGTAACAGATTATTATACTTTTGTGTTCACCTGTGAGTTTGACATAAAAGCATCTGCAAATATTGAACATAGTGGACTTCCTGTAGCTACTCCATAAGTATATGGGTGTAATTCCTTGTTAAGTGGGAATGGGATATTTTTCTTACACACTGTTGAAGGTTGGTTGAGACTTTGTTTAAACAAAAGAAGTAATTCGTATTATCTACAAATGATCTAAATAGTTTCTTTGGTTGGAATGTTAATGAATAGAAAAATGTCAAACGATACACGGGACTTATTTGAAATATTAAAATTTTTCAGCTTTTTGACGGACTGAAGTATTTTGCAAACTGCATGCCGCTAGCTTGTCGTGGATATGTTTGAGCTTCTCTATTCCAGTCCCACTATAACTAGGTTTTCTCTCTCTAGCGGGAATTTTAAAGGATTTCTATCTTTGTCGGAGGTATTCACAATTTTACTATCGACAAAACCCGATTTTGATTGGCAAAATCAATAAGTTTAATTTTCAAATAACGTCTTCTGTTATCGTTCATTGACAATGAACCAAGCAGTTAGTAGTAACAGTATTCAAATTTCGATTTTTTGTCAGTATGACTGACTTTCTTAGAAATGTGAGATTTAAAATCAAGAGATTGTGCCCAGACTTGTTGTTGGTTAATTTCAGTATTTAATAAATTGCCCTGAAATCTTTTGGTACTCAGAAATCTGATTCTCCTGTTACCAAAGTCCACGGAAGTATCTTAGATGAAGCTGTTCAACTTTATTCTACTTTTAACGTTGTCTTATCCAACATCAAATAAAAATTGTTCATTTCAGACTAGAATATTGAAGCTCATTAGTCTGTGGATTCTTTATGAGTCTTACTGATTCGCTGAAGATATCGTGGTGTGGAGAAACTTTGTAAGTACGCAACGCTTTGAAGAACTAGCAACCGAATGAGTTCGTCTGCAAGTTTTTTTTAAGTAAAACTCCTAAACGTTCCTGCTATGAACCGTCACTCACTGATTAAGTGACTATAGAATTCTACAGGAAGGGACATCTTTAGAAACTTCGTGTAACGTGTTCCGCTGTTTATGTTCATATAACCCAGAAGAGCAAGATTTGCAAATCTGCTAATCTCAGGCTAATATATCCTACACAATACGTGGAAATTTAATCCCATAACTTTGAGGTGATAATAAAGGATTCACGACCTATGTTTTTTGCAGCATCCACATCTGACATAATAGAAGGCACCAAAACTTTGAAATGAAACGTTTTTCACTTATTTGAGGAAGTGCACTCACATTTCTGATAAACATCTACATCTTTGAGATTATTAAAATGAAATAGGGAATTAAAGCCACAAGCAAAATTATGATGAAAAGCATTTCATCAAAAATGATAAAACCAGCTTATAGACAACAGATAACACAGACACTTAGTTGTGATTCAATCTGTACAACATAGTTGGCCGTAAATACAAGGATTCACACTCATCTCCAGGTCACTCATACCATAAATAAAAAACCGTCAGCATAAACAAATAGGCAGATCAACACAGAACGTTACAAAGAAGTGCATCGAAACAAGTTAATACACTACACAAGAACATGGGTAGATTGTGAATGAAATGAACGTCAACAAAAGTATGTGAAAGGAGAGAAAATAAATAGATAAGGGATAATGAAAATATTTAAGAGTTTGAAGATGGCGCAGAGTGTATATATTTGCATTAGTGTGGTAGATTTTGAACAATGTCACCAGGGGTTTCAGAGAAAATAGTGGTGCAACCTACACATCCCTTCACAGTTCAGACTCCACTGGCTAATACGACGTCCTTGTTTGACTTTACCTAGTTTCGTTTAAACTCAATCCTACTTTGGTTAACTTTGTGCATCCAGGTAGGACATTAGGATAATGGTCAGACTGAATAATTGATCTACCAAATTACGTCAACACAGTAGACTAGACAAAGACTTAGTTTTTCTATAAATATGACTGTTAAGGGAATGACGTCATTAGGAACAACTTTACTGTTGTTTCTGTAACTTGCTAACAGTTGTCAAGTTAAATTTAAGCCTACTCATTTCATTGATCATAGAATGAATCCAAAAGCAATGAGTTTCCCGTGAAATGAAGCTGGATGATGCCTTCGCTTAAATTGCGTTAAAAATTAAACTTCGATGATTGAATATCACGCAAATTAAACTTAAAATGTTATTTTAACCATCAGACATAGTAATGTTTTGCAAAGTATAAAAAGAGAATCAATTAGTAGCTGTCATTAGGAATAAACTGAGGCAGACAGTCTAAACTCTTTCAGTACACAAAGAAGTATGAGTTTAAGTCTAATAACAGTTGTTTTGATCAAAAGACATCTGGCTAAGGAATAACGTAGAGATATATCACTCAACTTATGGTACTGTCTAGTAGAAATAACAAAATAGTTAAGATATTTATGGCTTTTCAGAAAGGATATTATGGTAATGTAGGTCTAAAATTTCATTTGATGATATCTGTTAACCCCCAATTTTCTTAATTATATTTAAAATTGAAGATATTTGGCTCAATTCACCAGTTACAACTTCAAATTCGAAAGCCGGATTACGCTGCACAACAGATTTAACTAAAGTTCCATGCTATAAATAATAGCATGGGTTTAATACAAATAAATAACGGGTAACTTCAGATAGAATTACTTGTCATTTCATGTCGTACACGAAAATCGTCTGGTTAACCAGTTCATAGCCGGTCCTAAGCCCGGATAAAGAAGGGAACGCTGGGCATACGGCTAGCAACTATCCCTAGGAAAACCAATCCAATCGCTAAAAAAACTCCAAAGCACAAAAAATAAACTTATTCCTCGCTGGAATCAGAGAGGCGAAATGATACCAGTTGGTGAAACCCTTCAAAAAACCAATTGGCCGATGTCTCTTCTCTCTCCCCTATGAAAGCGAAAGTAAGCACAAGGACATGGAATGTCCGATCCATGTTGGAAGCCGACTGACAAGGCTGTCCAGATTGCAAAAGAAATGAAAAAGTATGGCATAGATGCCCTAGGAATCTGTGAAAGCAGATGGAATACAAGTGAACTCTCCAAACTGTCAACTAGAGAGTCAATTATCTACTCCAATACTGTCACACAGACGACTAACCACGAGCACACTGAGTTCTCGAGTGGCTATCACGATGTGCCCAACAAGCATCGAAGGCTCTGTCTCATGCAGTGGAAAGAATCTCCTCCACGATCAGGATCATGACAGCAAGATTCAACTCAAAAGGAAGGAAACTCACAATCATACAATGCTACGCTACGCTATGCTATGCACCTACAAATAATGCAGATGAAGAGGAGAAGGAGGAATCCTACAGACAACTGCAATCAGTACTGGACAAGACCTCTGATGGCGACATCAAACTTCCTATTAGTGACATGAATACCAGCCAAACTGGGAGCACACAACATAGGAAGAGAAGCAATCACGGGTCGAGAAGCACTAACTAGGTGAAATATGAACTGAGAATGGAGAACTGTTTGCAGACTTCTGCGCAATCAACAATTTGGTGATCGGAGACAGTGTATACAAACACAAGGATATTCACACGGCAGTGACATGAATTTGATTTCACCAGACACCAGGATACACTAAAAATCAGATCGATCTCATCCCAATCTGAAGAAAGTGGAGACTGCAGCCTACTGGACACAAGATCACATCGAGAAGAGAGAGGAGCAGATGTAGGTTCACACCACTCAACATCTAGTGCAAGGAACCTACCCTCAAAATCAAGTCTTCAAAGAAGAAGCTGGTGATAGACGACCACAGTTCAAGTTGAACACGCAGAACAGAAACTGAACACACTGAACTGAAGGACGAAACTTCTAAGGACATCTTCGCGTCAGTCAGCCATCAGGAAGAAATGGGAGACATTGAGCAACATATCCGAGGAAACCTGTGTGGAAGAAGACTGGAACTCATTGAAAGCTGTGTGGGAAGAAACCTGCATAACTGTATTAGGAAGGAAGGAGAAAGAAGATAAGGAATGGATCTCGAAGGACACATGGAAGCTGACAGAGGAGG